GGAGACATTGGTTCCAGATGTTTAAGGAAATCTCTGTCTAATCAGTAACTGACCACTAAGCTGACGTAGCAGTGGTCACACATGACACAATACAGACTTGACAGAATTATTTCAGAAAAGGCACAAGAACAACAGCAACAAAAATCTTTGAGGAGGGGGAAGAATCTGATTTCTACAGTTGCCACATTATATTATTTAAGGTATACTGTTTTCAACAAAAATTATGACACATGCAAAGAAAGAAGAATGTATACCCCATACACAGGGGAAAAAGCAATCAATAGAAAGTGTCTCTAAGGAAGTCCAGACATTCTATTTAATATATAAAGCTACTTTAAATATGGCCAAATATCTAAGGAAATTATGTCTAAAGGACTATAAGAAACTATGAGAATGATATACCAGATAGAGAGTATGAATAATGAAATAGTATTTTTTAAAAAGAACCTAATTGGGGCTGGCCCTGTGGCCCAGTGGTTAAGTTTGCACACTCTGCTTTGGCAGCCAAGGGTTTTGATGGTTTGGATCCTGGGCACGGACAGGGCATCGCTCATCAGGCCACATTGAGGCAGCATCCCACATGCCACAACTAGAAGGACCCACAACTAAAATATACAACTATCTACTTGGGGGGTTGGGGAGAAAAAGCGAAAAAAAAGAAGAAGATTGGCAACAGTTGTTAGCTCAGGTGCCAATCTTTAAAAAAAAAAAAAAAAAAGAACCTAATGGAAATTCTGGCATTGAAAAGTACAATAACTGAAATGAAAAATTCATTATAGGGGCTCAACAGCAGTTTTGAGTAGGAGGAAGAAAGAATCAGTTTACTTAAAGATAGGTTAATTGATGTTATCCAGTCTGAGGAACAGAAAGAAAAAGAATGAAGAATAATGAACATAGCCTCAGGGACCTGTAGGATCCCATCAAGCATATGAGTATACACATACTGGGAGTCTTAGAAAGAAAGAAGAGAGAGATGGGAACAGAAAGATTATTTGAAGAAATAATGGCTGGAAACTTACCAAATCTGATGAAAAATATTAATCTACACATCTAAGAAAATCAGCAAACTCCAAGTAGTGTAAACTCAAAGAGATCCCTACATAAGTCATAAACTGTCAAAAGACAGAACCTAGAAAGCAGCAAGAGAAAAACAACTCATTACATAGAAGGCATTCTCAATAATCTTAGCAGATTTCTCATTGGAAACCATGGAGAGCAGAAGGCAGTGGATTGGCATATTCAAAGTGCTGAAAGGAAAAGACTGTTACCCAAGTCTATATCTAACAAAACTATCTTCAAAAATAAAGGAGAAAGTAAGACATCCCCAAATAAGCAAAAACTGAGAGAATTAATCTCTCAAAAACTTGTAAGAAATACTAAAGGGAGTCCTTCTCAGGCTGAAATGAAGGGACATTAGGCAGTAACTCATATCCATATGAAGAAATAAAGAGCATCTGTAAAGGTAATTTCATAGGTAAATATAACAAACAGTATAAATGTATTTTTATAGCTCTTTTTCTCCTATCTGATTTTTAAAAACAACTGCATAGAACAGTAATTTTAAATCCATGGTGGTAGGCATTGTCTTGGGGGTCTCCAAAGCCATTCTCAAGTTTAGTAATTTACTAGCACAGTGATAGACTCAGCATATGGTTATATGCACACCTAGGATTTTTTTCTTTTTTTCTTTTTTGGTGAGAAAGATTGGCCCTGAGCTAACATCTGTGGCAATTTTCCTCTATTTTGTATGTGGAATGCCTGCCACAGCATGGCTTGACAAACGATGCCTAAGTCTGCCCCTGGGATCTGAACCTGCGAATCCTGGGCTGCTGAAACGGAGCATGCAAACTTAACCACTACACCACTGGGCCAGCCCTAACACCTAGGATTTATTCAGTGGAAGTATACCAAACAAAATCAGCAAAGAGAATAGGCACATTGCAAAGTGAAGGGGAAACCAGGCACAAGCTTCCAAGGGTCCCCTCCTAGTGGAGTCACACAAGACACACTTAATTCTCCAGCAATGAGTTGTGGTAACACATGTGAAATATCGCCAATCAGAGGAGCTCATTAAAGACTCAGCAGCCAGTGTTTTTATTTGGGGCTGGTCACATAGGCAGCCTCTGTCTAACACTTCCCAAAAGTCCGGACTCTCAGAAGCAAAGCAGGTGTTCAGCATTAACTATATTGTTTGCACAAACATTTTAGACACAGTGAGCCTCTCTTATTAGTCAATGATCAGAACCCTCCTGAAATCTAAGTTTCTAAACACAAGCCAAGGGCTAGTTTGTATGTAGACAAGAGCAAAGTTTTTGTATACTTTTGAAATTAAGGTAGTGTTAATCCAAACTAGATTGTTGTAAGTTAAGGTGTTTATTATAATCCTCAAAGCAACCACTAATAAAATAACTCAAAATAATGAGAAATTGCAAGTTAATTAACATAAAAAAAATTATTGCACACAGAAGAAGGCAGTAATGGAGAAACAGTGGGACAAAAAGAATAAGACAGAGAAAACAATAGTAAAGTGGGTATTTATGAAATAGCTAAGTAGTTCCTACCTTATCAGTAAGTACATTAAGTGTAAGTGGATTAAGAACTCCAATCAAAAGACAAAGATTGGCAAAATGAGTTAAAAAAAAAACATGATCCAACTATGTGCTCCCTGCAAGAGAAACACTTAAATATTTTATAATGATTAAATTGTCACTCCATCAAGAATATGTAATATCTGTAAACATATATGCAACTAACAAAAGGATCCCAAATCACATGTAGCAAAAATAAACAATTCAGCAGTTACATTTAGAGACTTTAATATCCCACTTTGAATAACGGATAGACTAATTAAAAAGAAAATCTAAATCTTGAACACTATAAACCAACAATTACAAACCTCACAGATAATCTACCACACTCCACCCTTAACAACAGAATACACATTCTTCTCAAGTGCGCATGGCACATCCTTCAGGATAGACCATATGTTAGGCCACAAAATAAGTCTCAGTAAATTTTAAATGGTTAAAATCATAGAAAGTATCTTTTCTGATCACAGTGGAATAAAACTAGAAGTCAATAATAGAAAGAAAAATGGAAAACTCATAACTATGTGGAAATTAAACAGCACACCCTTGACCAGTGGATCAAAGAAGAAATCACAAGGGAAATTAGGAAATACCTTGTGATGAATGAAAACGAAACTTTTGTTTTTCAAAGGACATTATTAAGAAATGGAAAAGAGCTCACACATGGGAGAAAATATTTGCAAATCATGTGTCTGATAAGGGTCTAGTATCCAGGGTATATAAAGAACTCTTATTATTCAACAATAAAAAGACAAGTAATACAACTTAAAAGTCGACCAATAATTTGAATAGACATTTCTCAAAAAAAGATACACAAGTGGCCAGTATGCACATGAAAAGATGCTCAACATTATTAGTCATTAGGGAAATGCAAATCAAAACCACAGTGAAATACCACTTCACACCTCCTAGAGTAAATATAATGAAAATGATGGACAATAACAAATGTTGATGAGGATATGGAGAAATTGGAAATGTCATATCTAGCTGGTGGGAATGTAGAGTTGCGCAACTGCTTTGGAAAAAAATGTGACAGTTCCTCAAAAAGTTATAGAGTTATCATATAATCTAGCAATTCCAGTCTTAGATGTATACCCCAGAGAATAAAAAACATGTATTTCTACAAAAATTTGTACTCAAATGTTCATAGCAGGATTATTCATAATAGTCAAAAGTTGGAAATAACCCAAATGCCCATTAACTTATGAATGGATAAACAAGATGTGCCATATAGCCGCACAGTGGAATATTATTCCACCATGAAAAGGAAGGAAGTACTGATACACAATACAAGTAACCTTGAAAACATCATGCTAAGTGAAAGAAGCCAGACACAAAATGCCACATACTGTATGATTCCAGTTACATGAAATGTCCAAATAGGCAAATGTATGAAGACAGAAAGTAGATTAGTGGTTATCAGGGGTGAGGGGGAATAATTGGAGTAATTTGGAGTGATTAATGGGCACTGGGTTTCTTTTGGGCGAGATAAAAATGTTCTGTAATAGATAGTGGTATAGGTTGCACAACCTTGTAAATATAGTAAAAACCACTGAATTGTACCCAGTTTTTTAAAATAAGTTTTAACAAATCAAATCCAACAAACTATAAAAAGAATAGTACATCATGACCATGTGTGGTTAGCCTAGGAATAAAAAGCTGGCTCAGGGGCCGGCTTGGTGGCGCAGCGGTTAAGTGCACACATTCTGCTTCTGTGGCCTGGGGTTCGCTGATTCAGATCTCAGGTGCGGATATGGCATTGCTTGTCAAGCCATGCTGTGGCAGGCATCCCACATATAAAGTAGAGGAGGATGGGAATGGATGTCAGCTCAGGACCAGCCTTCCTCTGCAAAAAGAGGAGAATTGGCAGCAGATGTTAGCTCAGGGCTAATCTTCCTCAAAAAAAAAAAAAAAGCTGGCTCAATATTTGAAATTTTACCAGTGTAATGGACCATATTAACAGTCTGCAGAAGAAAAACTACATGATCATATCAATTAGTGCAAAAAAGTTTTTTTTTTACAAAATTAAGCATTCATTCATGATAAAAACTCATTAAACTAGAAGATCATCTATAGAAAATCTACAACCAGTGTAATACTTAAAAATAGTCTGTGTGGCTAAGGAAGGTTTTGGAAAATATTTTCTATCATTTTCTTGACTTTCAAAATAGAATACATGTAACATTTTTGGATATTAGTTATCAGTAGTTGGCAAAAGTAGCGGATTTTTTTTTATACAACTACTTTAGTACATTGTATTGAATAGTTTCTATAACCCTGCTCATATAAACGACTTTGATTAAAGGAATATATAACTGATGCATTGGTTTTTTCAGTCTTTTGTCTGTCCCACTAGAAATTTGGCTTATATTTTCAAAGCTATGTTTATTTGATTTTCTCCCTATTTTTTAGGTGTATTCGACACAAAAATGATTGGGGAGCTCTTATTCTAGTGGATGATCGCTTCAGGAGTAACCCAAATCGATATATATCTGGTAAGATTCTCAGCTGGGCTTACAGTAAGAATTAGTAACAATGTTTGGTATTTTAAAGACGAAGAATTGGACAGAGAATTTGGATTACTAGATCAAACATGGAAAATTTCACATTGACTGGAAATCTAGCCTTTTAATGCTTATGCATTTAGAAAAAAATCTTTGTAGAGGAGAATCTGGTTAGTACCAACATAGTATTAATCAATTAGGGTCCTTCAATGTCATAGAATGTCAGATTTGATTCAATAACATAGTAATAATTTATTTACAATTGTCAGAGAAAAAGGTGTTCCACAGAAATGAATTTTCAAGAAATATTAAGTTTTTACATTTAAGCACACATGCACATCTCCTTTGGCTGCTTAAGATTCTTTATTATTTCATTCTGGGTTATGTTGAGGTTTGTTGTTGTGTGTGTTTAGAAATGCTTCAGTTGTTACAGAGTTTATGTTAGAGCTAGTATTTTCTAAAAGGAAAAACAAAGCACCGTTGTATGCTGCAAGATCAACTAGATGGTCATTTTTTCCTCACTCAAATGAACAAATATTGTGTGTATATAGTTTTTATCCAGCAGTAGCATGGTCCCTTTAAAGTCAATACCAGGAATCCAGGAATCCATCTGTTATTAAAGAACTGTTGGAAATACTTGCATCTTTTTATTATCTGTAATAAAGTTCTTAAGTTCTGTATTAAATTCTTTATCTTAATAAAGTATAAACTAAAAAATTCATGCCATACTATAAGGGGTAGATGCGAAATTTTATATTTGTTTCAGATTAGCTGTGTATGGGTATGGATTCTACTTTTTCCATTTCAGAGCCTAGTTACTATATTTGGTTTGATATTCAAACATGTCCATCTGGATTAAAGCACAAATGCTGCTTTATTAGTCTTTTCTTCTCTTTCCATGTAAAGCAAGCCATTGTGCTTAGATCAAGACATAAAGGAAAGCAAAATGTTAAGTGCTTATGTTTAGTCAGCAGGTGGAGCTCAGATTCTTTCAGGTTTTCAAAAAAGCAAACTGACGTTTTACACTGAATAGGCCTTCTTTGATTACAAAAGTTCAAAATGAAAGAGGTAACTATAATACTAAAATTTTTCAATTTTGGAAAATTTCATATGTTTATTTCATGTAATTATTTTGCCCAAGCAAACAAAAATAAAGAACTTTAAAGAAAATGTGTATTTAAATTTTTGTCTTATTTTAAAATCTAGAACTTAAATTTTTATCTCATAGTTCAGATTTGTTGAGAGATTCTTTGAATTAAGTATTTTTCATTATTTCTGTATGGTTTTTATTTATTTTTTCTCAGACTCGTATGAAATGTTTAATTAAGCATTAATAGCACAACAACATACACATTCTTTTTGATGACTAATTTTTGTTTAAATTCAATTTGCCTGAATATCGATTGATAGAAAAACTCCATTTAAAAAAACTAACTAAAACAATGTATTTGAAATGAAAGTATAGTAGTTCAAGTTGCTTGAAGCCTCCCTGCCTTATCTTTCTGTGAACTTAAAATATTATAGTGACTTTTTTAACTACTCCAGAAGATGATCATAGTTTTAGTAGCATCAGTAGAGAATAGTTATATTCTAAAAATCCAAATATCTGATTTTGAATTTTATTCTGAAGTGAGTCATACTACAAAACACCTTATATTCTTAAATGGTTCATTTTTATGCAGCTTTAGCATGTCACAGGTCAAATCTTTTCCCTTACAACCTATTTGTATATTAAAAAATAATTATATAATAAATATTCAAAAAGGACATGATTTGCCCATAAAACAGTGTTATTCCTTTCAAACCTTGCCCCCAGAATATTTTAAGATCTATTTGGAATTGGGGGAGTAGGGGAACAAAGAAACCTATGAGACTGGAATCTTGAATTTATTTTTACAAAAGGAGTCAAATTTTAAAAGTTAGAGTGGAAGATTATATTGCTTACAACTCCTAGTTTCCCTACAATTAAAAGGTAGGCAACTTTTGTGGGCAATCATGATGAGATTAAATTGGTCTTATTCCCCAATCATGCTGAACTGGCAAATAATACATTTCCCCTCCCCCACTATACTCCCACTGCCTCCTTCTTCCCTCCAATTGACAATCGCTTCATATAAAGGGAAATGTTACAGATACAATGAGCATATTTACATACGAAGGTAAAAAGACAGGAAGCGTATTGAGAACCATTCTATATACAGGCATACCTCATTTTGTTGTGCTTTACTTTATTGCACTTCACAGATACTGCATTTTTTCGGATTGAAGGTTTGTGGCAATCCTGCATCGAACAAGTCTGTTGGCACCAGTTTTCTGATAGTATTTGCTCAGTTTGTATCTCTGTGTCACGTTTTGGTAATTCTCGCAATATTTCAAACTTTTTCGTTATTATTATATTTGTTATGGTGATCTGTGATCAGTGATCTTTGATGTTATTTTAATTGTTTTGGGGTGCCAAGAACCACACCCATATAAGACAGTGAACTTAATTGATAAATGTTGTGTGTTCTGACTGCTCCACTGACCAGCCGTTCCTTCATCTCTCCGTCTTCTTGGGCTTCCCTATTCCCTGAGACACAACAATATTGAAACAATAGGATGACTAATAACCCTACAATGGCTCTAATTGTTTAAGTGAAAGGAAGAGTTACATGTCTCTCACTCTAAATCAAAAGCTAGAAATGATTAAGCTTAGTGAGGAAAGCATGTCGAAAGCTAGGCCTCTTGTACCAGTCAGCCAAGTTGTGAATACAAAGGAAAAGTTCTTGAGGGAAATTAAAAGTGCTACTCCAGCGAACACATCAATGATAAGAAAGTGAAACAACCTTATTGCTGATATATGTAGAAACTTTTAGCGTTCTGGATAGAAGATCAAACCAGCCACAATGTTCCCTTAAGCCAAAACCTAATCCACAGCACAGCCCTAATGCTCTTCAATTCTGTGAAGGCTGAGAGAGGTGAGGAAGCTGCAGAAGAAAAGTTTGAAGTGAATAGAGGTTGGTTGATGAGGCTTCAAGAAAGAAGCCATCTCCATAACATGAAAGTGCAAGGTGAAGCAACAAGTGCTGATATAGAAGCTGCAGCAAGTTATCCAGGTGTTCCAGCCAGGATGATTAATGAAAGTGGCTACACTAAACAACAGATTTTCAATGCAGACGAAACATCCTTGTATTGGAAGAAAATGCCATCTAGGACCTTCAGAGCTAGAGAGAAGAAGTCAATGCCTGGCCTCAAAGCTTCAAATGATAGGCTGACTGTCTTGTTAGGGACTCATGCAGCTAGTGACTTTAAGTTGAAGCCAATGCTTGTTTACCATTCCAGAAATCCTACAGTCCTTACGAACTATGCTGAATCTACTCTGCCTGTATTCTGTAAATGGAATAACAAAGCCTGAATGACGGCGCATATGTTTACAACAGGGTTTACTGAATATTTTAGGCCCATTGTTGAGACATACTGCTCAGAAAAAAAGATTCCTTTCAAAATATTACTGCCCATTTACAATGCACCTGGTTACTCAAGAGTTCTGATAGAGATAACGAGATTAATGTTGTTTTCATGCCTGGTAACACAACATCCATTCTGCATTCCATGGATCAATGAGTAATTTTGACTTTCACATCTTGTTATTTAAGAAATACATTTTGTAAGGCAAAGCTGCCATAGATAGTGATTCCTCTGATAGATCTGCGCAAAGGAAATTGAAAACCTTTTGGAAAGGAGTCACCATTCTAGATGACATTAAGAACACTCGTGATTCATGGGAAGAGGTCAAAGTATCAACATTAGTGGGAGTTTGGAAGAAGTTGATTCCAACTCTCATGGATGACTTTGCAGGGTTCAAGACTTCAGTGGAGGAAGTAACTGGAGATGTGGTGGAAGTAGAAAGAAAACTAAAATCAGAAGTGGAGCCTGATGATTTGACTGAATGGCTGCAATCTCATGATAAAACTTTAACAGATAAAGAGTTGCTTCTTATGGATGAGCAAAGGAAGTGATTTCTTGAGATGGAATCTACTCCTAGTAAAGATGCTGTGAAGATTGTTGAAATGACAACAAAGGCTTTAGAGTATTATGTAAACTAGGTTGATAAAGTAGCACCAGAATTTGAGAGGATTGACTCCAATTTTGAAAGAAGTTCTACTGTGTGTAAATGCTATCAAACAGCATCGCATGCTACAGAGAAATCATTTGTGAAAGGAAGAGTCAATCAATGCGGCAAACTTCATTGTTGTCTTCTTTTAAGAAATGGCCACAGCTATCCCAACTTTCAGCAACTCCCACCCTGATCAGTCAGCAGCCATCAATATCGAGGCAAGATCTTCTACAGCAAAAAGATTACAATTCACTGAAGGCTCAGATGATGGTTAGCATTTTTTAGCAAGAAAGTATTTTTTAACTAAGGTATATACATTATTTTTTCAGACATAATGCTATTGCACACTTAAGAGACTACAGTATAACGTAAGCATAACTTTTTTTAAGATTTTATTTTTTTCCTTTTTCTCCCCAAAGCCCCCAGGTACATAGTTGTATATTCTTAGTTGTGGGTCCTTCTAGTTGTGGCATGTGGGATGCCACCTCAGCATGGCTTGATCAGCAGTACCATGTCTGCACCCAGGATTCAAATCGACAAAACACTGGGCCATTGCAGTGGAGCGCACAAACTTAACCATTTGGCCACGGGGCCGGCCCCATGTAAACATAACTTTTATATGCACTAGAAAACCAAAAACTTTGTGTGACTTGCTTTATTGCAATATTTGCTTTATTACCATGATCTGGAACCAAACACACATAATCTCTGAAGTATGCCTATATTCTAAATTCAAAGTAGATTACTTGATTAGAAAAAATATCTGTTTTTTTTAATACATAATATCTTAATAACTAAATAACCAAAGTTTCTTCTCTGGGTTTACTTTTTTCCTTAGGACTTTCTAAATGGGTACGGCAGCAGATTCAGCACCATTCTACCTTTGAAAGTGCACTGGAGTCCTTGGCTGAATTTTCCAAAAAGCACCAAAAGGTCATTGCTGTATCCAAAGAGGACAGAAAGTCTATACAGGACAGTGGGTCTACGTTTGAAGTGGCCTGTTTGAAGGACAATACCTCAACTTATTTATTGGAAGCAGCAAGCCATCTATCACCAGAAAGTCCTAGGGAAGATGAAGCAAAAATGTGTGTGCAAGAACTACAGTGTCCTAAAATGATAACTGAAAGTCCATCGCTACCAGGCAGCGTTATCTCCAGAAATGAGAAAAGTATGAAAAATTATGCCCATTTATGTTTGGTAGAGAAGTCTTTCATTTTTATTTAGTGAAATGATATTTATTATACTATAGATTAATTTCCTTAAATATGTTGGTTTGTAATAGAAGGTGTTATCATAAAATAATGAAATAGTATGGTGTATTGGAATGGGAACAAACTTGTGAGGCGATCTGAGCATATTTTCTGGCTTTCCATTAACAAGCTTTGCCACTAACTAGCTTTGTGACCATGGGTAAGTCCCTTAACTTTTTTGAGTCTTAATAGAAAAAGGAATATTTGCTTACCTATCCCTCCAGGGTGGGTTGTAAATATGTAATAAGATGATAAATAGAGTCTATTCAAATGGCAGATGTTTTTCAAGGCTATATTAAAGATTGATCTAATTTATAGACAACTTCTCTCACATGAATTTCTTAGTTTGAGGAAGTGAGAGTCATTTCTTCTAAATGGTAAAAAATGATATTTTAGCATATGGTGGTCTATATCAGGGATTGGCAAACTATTATGTCTGGACCAAATTCTGCCTGCTCTCTGTTTTTGTAAATAAAGTTTACTGCAACAGAGTCATGCCCATTCATTTACATATTGTACACAGTAGCAGACTTGAGTAAGTTTTATGTATTGCACTAGAACAGCATAATTGAGTAGTTGGAGGAGACACAATATGACTTTTAGAGCCTTAAAATGTTTACTGTCTGGCCTGTTATAGAAAAAGTTTGACACACTCTGGTGTATATCATTAGATATCATTTTAATTAATATATGATAGTAGTTTAACATATTAGTTTTTAAATATTTACTTTGTAGTATATGCTTCTATCCTAGTGAATTGAAGGCCATTCTACTGGTAATAAGGGAATCTAGGTTCTAGTTCGGGTCTGATTTCTAACCTGTTTGTAACTTTAAGGAAATATCTTAGTCTTTATGGTTGTAAGGTTCCTTAAGGGAATTAGTCTAGGTCAGTTTTTCTCAGTCACTGGTTAGTAGATTTTAAAGCAAATTTTTATAGCCTGTTCCCTCTTTACTCAGCTGTCTTCCTCTTTACCCTTCCTTTTCTCTTTCATTCCTGAGGTCCCTGGTATGAAGTTTGATAGTTTAGCAGACAGCATTATGACTTGGGCTAGAAATCACTGGAAACCTAAGATTCCTTTCAGAGTTAACATTTTGTGCTTTACATTCTAAGATGGAAGTCCTGCTACTACTGGTTGTGGGCTCTAAATTAAGTATCCTATACAATTATTTCAGTATTTCCAATGAAAATCATTTTAATATAACAGTTATGTTATAAACAGTTAGTTAGAAACAGAAAGTTAATACTCTTAAATTTTTGTATTCATAGATGACTCAGTGTTATTGGAAGAGTCTGCCCAGACAGTGAAAGCAGAAAAAATCGTGATTTCCAGATCCACAAGCCCAACCTTCAACAAACAGACAAAGAGTGTTAGCTGGTCTAGCTTTAATTCTTTGGGACAATATCTTACTGGTAAAATTCTGACTGTAACACCTGAGTTCAGGTCATCAGAGGCTTGTGCCTCTAATTCTACTTTCAAAACAGAAAAGGAATATAAAACTGTTTTGCCACTCACTGATAAGTGTGAGCCCTCATCTCTGACAGTAAACACATCATTTGGACCATGCTCTCAGTCAGAAACTACTCTTCCATCAACAAAGACTGATGCTACTCTTCTTAAAAATAATCATTCCAAACAGCTGCTCCACTCTGAAGACGCTCCGGATCCAGACATTGAATTGTCGTTAGTAAGTGAAGAAGCTAAGCTTTCCACTTCAAATACAGCATTTGAAACAGAAACAGAAGATGAATCTATCTATTTTACACCTGAACTTTATGATTCTGTAGATACAAATAAAGAAAAAAATTAATTAGTTGGAACTGATAGAGAAAGTATATTGGTTGATAATTCAAATTACATTTTAGCTGAAGATCTCTGAAATTAGAACTATGACAGGAGTGGATTCAGTCAGAGAAATGAAAGCTGAGGATTGTACAGGCACTAAGTTGAGTAGACTCATGCACATTAAAGAAAGTAAAATTGATGACGTTGGTAGTAACATAAAAACAACTCATATAAATGAATTGGAGCTGGGAAAAACTCATGAAACAGATATAAAGAACTTTAAACAATCTCCTTCCAAAAGTAAAGATGTGTTCCCTGATGTTAGGTAATACTTAACTGTAGCTATAAAAATATGCCATCATGCTTCTATTAAACTCTATTGTAAATGATAATTTATACATTGGATAAGTGGCATAGTTATTTTTTTAATTTGAGATATATTTTCACTTTAATTCATTATCATTAGAGTTCTTTAAAAGTCTATTTTATGTTCAGAAATATGTTTTACTATTCTCAAGTTTTGATTCATACAAAATATTTTCCTTCAATGTCTTCCTTAGCTAAACGCAATTTAAAATTAATCAATCTGAAAGATATGTAGTTTCCTAGGGCACTTTAAATTTCACATAAATATTTGTATTTTGTAGTCCTCTTCACCCAATTGTTTTCATACTGGTACATAAATATTAACAGCACTCTAATCTAGTCACACCTCAGTCATATTTCACTATACATATTGCCTCAAATCGGTAGGAGTTTCTTTTTAGAAATCAAAGTTTTCTTGAAAAATGTATTCCTGTATTAAATTGCCTACTTGTGAGTAATTAAGAATTAAGGAAGAAAACTGCATACATTTTTCATTGAAATTGTTTGACATTTTTGTTTTATAAACCAAATCAAGCATGTTTTAAGTGAATTTATGTAAAGTTATAAAAAGTGAAGGACTCCAAATTTTCAATTCTAATTATTTAGCTTCGTAATCACTGTGGAAAAAAGTGACATATTGTAGCAAAGAAGCTTTAATTATGCAACCATTAAGATAGAAAACTTCATATATAAATTTGATAAATAAACCCAAACATGTAATTGTAGCTGAAAAATGTTCCCTTAGAGTTCAGTAAACTTTTCTGTAAATTTTGACTCTGTTTATGTTTTTGTGAATGAAACTGTAGTTCTGATCAAAAATGGTTATAAAATATTCTCTTCTCTGACATTTCAAAAATACATTCACTGATCTTTTTCTAAGAAACATCTGTTATTCAATGGATGTTTAGTCTTCTTTTGAGTGATTTGAATTGAAATTTTATGAGCTGTTCAAGTTGTGGATGTGGTTTATTATTTTCAAAGTCAAAATTCCCAGCAATCAAGTATCTTTTATATTCATTTTGATAAATGAATTATTGTATATGCATATGTTTACTTTTATTTTGATAGCATTTAGATTGCTTACAACTGGTTTCGATAGCATTGGATGTTACAACTCTAAGCATAGTTCAAAAAAATTTAAATTGATAATTTACCAGTTAAAGAATTCATTTATAGATTGAGATATATTAGATCTCACCTAATATTATATATTTTTCTTAGTTGATCAGTGAGTAATAAGTTACAAACACTAGGTTAGAAGATAATTTCTAAATTGTTTTGAAAGAGTGAAACCATTTCTCCTCTCTGGTATAGTTTTTAATCCACAGATAAGGGTAATGGGATATAGAAAGAATACCAGGTGGAAGACCAGAGACTTGGGTTTGATTCCTGGCTTTGCCTCTAATTTGCTAAGTCATGTTTGGTAGTCATCATGCCTTTTGGAGAATTAGTTTCATCTGTGAAATGCAGAATTTAATACTGTAAAATCATGCAAATCCCTTTTGGCATTAAAAATCTGTAATTTAAACGAATATATGTTGATATTTTACTCTGAATCAATTTTTATTTGCTTTTGTTCCAAATGCTTAAAATAAAGCAAACCATTTTGTAGAAAAGGTGAAATGATACTCATCAACCTTTAGAGAATAATTGTATGAATGCGTGCATAGTAACTTGGGAAGCAAGATATTTAACAGTGCTGCAATCAAAACATTTTTGGACCCTTAAAATTGCCTTTAGAAGAATTGGTAAACTACATAAGAAAAGTCAAGCACAATACTTTTTAATCATACCTTAGTGTTATTATCCAAACTTGATCTCAAACACCATCTCCTTTCCCTGGGTTTGATTTATTCTTTCCAAAATCTAGTTCTCCCCAAGGCTAAAAATTTCCATTGCTAAGAATATATGTAGAGATGTGCCACAAGCTTTTAGTAATTCTAAGAGGTATTCCAAAGATTTTGTACATGATATCACTGTTGAAACAGGTATATAGTCCCCTCAGATCATAACTTTGACCAGGATAATATTACTCTTTATAATAGAGGAGGAGGTGGAACATTTTCATTAGTGCTAACATGCTTTTTAAAGAGATGTTTTAGAGAGTTAAATAAGTTAAAACATGTAAAAAGCAGTTGAGAGTATCCGGCACACGGTAAGTCCTCAATTAATAGTTGTTAAGTCAATCATATGTCTGGAGTACACCCTTGCTTTATATGAACCATTCCTCAATAATGATAGATAGATAGATAGATAAATCAACAATAAAAAAATCTTTATACAGTAGGAAGGAAGAGTTATTTGGCTACCTTATTTTTTTAAGGCTTTTGAGATCTATAAATAAGATAGAAATTGTTTATCAGCTAATTTACATTACCCCTTCAATGCATATGAACTAATTATGTAATACTGAATTTACTTAAGGGCCGAAAGTATATAAAGCACACAGGCCACAAACTAGGAAAACTACCAGTTGGAGAAAGGGCTTTACTCATAGAAGAAAGGTACAGTGTAAAGAGCAGATGTTTCACAACTTGACTTTTGCAATTTAGATGAATCATTTAAAACTTTTTATAATTATTTTGCAAATTCATGACAACTCTTACCATGCTTCTACTATTCATTTAGTTATTACAGGGTTTTTAATTGGTATTGTTTCTAAGTTCACAAGGCTTTGTTTTTATTCTTATGATCTTTCTATTCAAGACATTAATTCTTTAAAAAGTCTTTCCCAGGGGCTGGACCAGTGGCCGAGAGGTTAAGTTCGCGCGCTCCGCTTCAGTGGCCCTGGGGTTTCACCGGTTCGGATGCCAGGCACGGACATGGCACCGCTCGTCAGGCTATGTTGAAGTGGCGTCCCACATAGCATAAGCAGAAGTGCTCACAACCAGAATATACAACTATGTACTGGGGAGCTTTGAGGAGAAGAAAAAGAAAAAAAAGATTGGCAACAGTCGTTAGCTCAGGTGCCATTCTTTGAAAAGTTTCCCATATCTTTCTGCAATATGACTGTCACATTATTCTCCCATAGTAAAGCATGTTCAAAATATTTAATTCTTTAGCATTCTTTATAAAACTTCATGAAATCAAAGTGCCTAGTTGTCAAATCACTTGAAAGACTGGTTATTGTAGTCATTTAATCTCTAAGTGATAGCATTTTTTTGATATTTGATTACCACACAATTATTGTTGCTCCTGCTCTTTTTTACCTCAGATTTTACTTTAAACTTAATGAATTCTTAGTAGTTTCTTGTCTGTTTCCATAGACAAATGCAGTCAGTCTTTTGTAAATAGAAAGGCAGTATTAGTACTGACCTTTTTCATAATAAAAAATAAATTTAAGACCACATCAGACAATGAATGTCTATGGAAGTAAAACCATAACATAAATTATCTGTGCAGCTATTAAACATATCATAAAGAACGTCACTTCAGGAAATGGAAATTTAGACAGATGACCTAGGCTTATGATTTTCTAGCCTTAAACGATTTTCATGTCCACTGAAAAAAAAAAAGAATTTTGTTTCTTAAGGTTTCATTTGATAGAACCATTAGCTGCCCAGCTTCCTGTACTTTACAATGGAGCCTTGTTATAATATCCATGGGATCTAAGCCAGTAGATCACCTTATTGGTGAAACCACCTTATAATGAAGTGCTTTGAGTAACTAAACTCTTGGATAAGGTCCAAAACAACCCATCTTATACCAAATTCCACTCTGTAATAAACAAGCTTCAATATATTGGAAAGAAAACAAAAGCTATATGAAACTTACTATTCCCAGAAATTAACCTTTGAAAATCTAATGTTAAATACTGACTAAAAGGAATATTTGTTAACAAAGCATAATCAAGTAGGTATTTTTAGTACTCTTCTAATACTTCATATTTTTTTATCTTGATCTTCCTTTTTTAAGCAGTCTATATGATTTTGATTTTCGTATGCTTTTCCAAAAAGTTTCATCACTTCACATGAAATTAGTTTGCATCAAAATTTACAAAACTCAATATTAAAATGTCTCATTTGGCTCCTTGCTATTATAAAATACTAAGTTGTACAAGTGGCATATCATTTATGTAAACTAAGTTAGGTGTCTATCTTTTTTATATGAGTCATACATAGTTGAAAAGATTTAAAGATATTAAATACTGATTGTTATTATTTTGGATCCAGTATCATCTTGGTATATTTTCCCCTTTTTTCAAACTAGTGTTATGGTATTCATATTTAAATATTAACCATCTTTTCAAACATTGATCTTTTTATCTTGTAAAAGGACCCAAGTAATCTGCCTTGCCAGTCAGGGCTTTATTGTATTGCTTGTGGAGCTAAATTATTACCTAAAGCAGAAGGAGGTAGGAAATATAAAAAATTACTTTGTGCCATCCTTAGTATAGGCTAATCTAAGTTAAAATAAAGTAGATTGATGTATTGATATTTCCATATTTCAGTCTTTAAAGCTGATTGGCAGCATACGTGAACTTCATTACCTTAGACTTGGAAGCATGTTCCAGATCCACCTACTGACTTACTTTGAGGTAATTATTTCCCTGAGCTTCTGTTTTTTCATCTTAAAATGGAGATAAATAATTTCTTAAGAAATAGATCAAACGTTATGAGTATCAAGTGCAGTAGAGTGCATAAAAGCTTTTTTTTACATCAGGCAGGGAGAAAGATAGAATTTTGGGTCAAAGGAATGAGTTTTGGCCCTGCTTCTTACTGAGTGGTCTTGGTCATATAATTTTACCTCCTTGGACCTCAGCTTTGTTTTCTGGGGGGAAAAAGTGAGCAATATCTACCCAAGAAAATTATTTTGAGGATTAAATGAGATGATATGCAATATGTGAAAGTGCTTTATAAATTCTGAAGCACTGTCCAAGTATTAGTTCTTAGGAAACTGAAACAATAATCTAGTAAAATTATCTCAGTATCCTGAAATTGTACCTTCAAAAGGACAAATACACCTATTAGAATTTGGTCCATGTGCTGAAAAGCACTCTGAGCTTTTTTTTTTTTTTTTTAGCTTCTTTTAAAAACAATTCTATGTAGTTATTCTTTTACTAGCAGAACTTAAATATTGTGAAAATTTATTTTCCATTTTTTCCATTTTATTTTTATATCTTAAAATGTGTGCACATTGCAAACAACAAAAAAAGTTTTATCAAAGAAACACTGAAATCCCTAAATTTTATTGAGAACATTCTATGTAGGATCCATAGAGCTGGGAATTTTTTTGGGGGGGGGGTCTGTGTTATTTCTGTATTCCCAACATTATATTTACCGACTAAGTGAATTGAATGGAGCATTCTATTCATAATGTATTTATTTCTATCAGGACTTTATCATATACTTGGTTCTCATATATGCCTATTTCATTTGACCAATTTCTAGACTCTAGTGACCTTTCTATTTTCTAAATTTTCATTCTTATTGCCCTAACAGCATTAAATACTTCACACTTTCTGTTACTTCAGTTGTGGACCAGAGATTGTCTTTTCTCTTTTCTTTTAAATGGTGTACTTTTACCAACTGTACCTATAAAGAATGTTGGACTTTTTGCACATTCTTTTGAGATGTCCGTAGACAGTATTATTCTGACACAATTGGATTCTAAAATATGAATTGAGTTTCATATTAACTAATTGGTTAGCCAAAATGTCAGCAAGTTTGTAAGCCTTTCAAGCCCGTTACCACCCTGGGAGAAAATTTTTCCTGCCTGTGCCCCAGTGTAATATTTATTGTATGATATTGCAATTAATTGTGTAGAAGTCTGTCTCCCTGGGACACTGTGACCCCCTGGGAATAAGGACAGCTTCCCATATTATCTAGCATTTATTCATCCATCCACTCATTCATCTGACATATTTTGAGAGCCTGCTTTGCATTAAGAACTGTGCCATGCTCTAGGGATACCAAAGATGAGTAAGAGAAGGATCATATCCATCAGGAACTTATAGCCTAATTCACATAAAAGTAAATACTTGTGGAGCAGTGTGATAAGAGTTGTAATAGAGGCGAAGCACACAGCAGTGTTTGTTGAGTATATGCATAGTGGTATGCACAATTATGATTCTGGTTAGAAGATCTGTAAGCAGAATTGTTTAGCACAGGAAGCATCTTAACAGATTTTCTTTTTTTTTTTTTTAAAGATTGACACCTGAGCTAACAACTGTTGCCAATCTTTTTTTTTAATTGCTTTTTCTCCCCAAATCCCCCCAGTACATAGTTGTATATTTTAGTTGTGGGTCCTTCTAGTTGTCGCATGTGGGATGCCACCTCAGCATGGCCTGATGAGCAGTACCATGTCTGTGCCCAGGATCCAAACCGGCAAAACCCTGGGCCGCTGAAGCACAGCACGCAAACTTAACCACTCCACCACAGGGCCGGCCCCCTTAACAGATTTTCTTTAATTTCTTTTTTTTTTTTTTTTTTTTGGTAAGGAAGGTTGGCCCTGAGCTAACATCTGTTGCCAATCTTCCTCTTTTTGCTTGAGGAAGATTGTCGCTGAGCTAAGATCTGTGCCAGTCTTCCTCTGTTTTGTACGTGGAATGCCACCACAGCATTGCTTGATGAGCAGTATGTAGGTTCACACCCGGGATCCGAACCTGTGAACCCTGG